TCGTGACCATGTTAAAGTTCAGTGAGTGTTCAAACAATTTACTTATAGGCAAGCAAGGCTTGCCTTCTAGAATACTGGTGAATAGCCATTGTGAGTTATATGAAATGTGTTGATAATAAATGAATATAGTTGTGAGCAATGTTTTAAAAGGTGTAAATCATAGCTAAGCGTGAAATCCAAACTTCAGGCTAGGCGAGAACTATATGTAAAAAAAAAAACTTTTTTTATCTTAATATTATTTTTAATTTTTAATAAACCTAAAATTTATTTAATAATTGAAATAATACCTACCAAAAACATAAAATTATAAAAAACTATATTGAAAAAAAATAAAAATAAGCGCCTAGCCAAAAAAAAAAAATGCGCAAGAAAATAATAAAAAGGTGAAAAAGTGTGAGGCGAGGCGTTTTGCACAAACTTCGCACCTAGGTACGACTTTTTAGAATACTGGTTGGTTGTGAGTAATATAAGATGTGTTATAAAAAATGTATTTGATCAAAAATTATTATAAAATGACTTGTGCTATATTTACAAATAGAAGATTATTCACTTGTGAGGTGGGGTAAAATAATAAGCATGTAAATATGATTCATTTTATTGACTTCATCATTTAGGGTGTGTTTGATTGGCAATGAAAATGTTTCTTAGAAAAGAATTTTTTTTTCCTCGTTTTGAAGAAAATAAAAATCTACCTTCCCCAAAGAAAGTTTTTTCTTCAAAAATAAGAAAAATTAAACATATTTTCAAAAATTGAAAAATATTTTCTATAAAAAAAAATTACAATCAAACGCTCTATTAATGTCAGCTTATATTGAGAATAATCCCCAGTTTATATATATAGTATTACTCTTATAAAATAATTACTGATCAAATATGAATTAAAAAAAATTCCAACTTCAAATTATGTGCCAACTCTATGGACTATTAGCAAAATTACTATTGAGTGCTAATGAATTCAAGGCAGCCGCCACTTGTCAATTCGGTAAATCATTAGGTAAAAAATTAGGTACAAATAGAATTTTCCCAAGAGGAATAAGGATTTTGCCATTTGTACATTAACTTCTACCATCTTCTTGACAGAAAAATGTGTTGACAAATATGTACTGAATGAAAAGACATTTTTTTAAACTATCAAATGACAAAATGCCACATGACACTTTGTTTAAAAAAAAAAAAATGTCAAATAGGATGTACACCAGGCATGATTCGAAAAATAAATCTATGCACAAAAATGTAAAATAAATTTAATTATTTAAAAATGAGAAATTTGTTTATGAAAAATCAAAGTGAAGTGAAAGTGAAAAAGAGTTCAACCTTCTAAAATTATGAATAAAGATTTTATTTTATTTTTTCCTTTTGTACTACGCACATTCGGTAAGCTTGACGTCTAGATATTTCAATATTCAAATTCATTCATTACAGTTTGAATATTTCGTAAACATATCCATTCAATTCCATGTAATTACTGAAATCAAATCCGAATCTATCTACCCATAATATTTTTGTTAAGAAATCATACGTTGATAATAAAAATAATCTTCCAAATATCTAGCAAAAATGTAAAAAATAAAATATATCACCAAACATATATTTCAACACTTTATCAATTCATCATAAATATGCCACAAAATAGCATCAAATATCTAGCATAGTAGCATCCAAACCCCTCGAGAAGGATTAGTATGGCGGACGACATGTAAAGTGTGGTTAGGAGTAATTATGAATAAGAGTGATATAATTCAATTATTCAAATGAATGAAATTGAATTGTAAAAATACTTACTACATGGGCCTGCCGACTTGCTATTTTTTGGATTGAGTCATGGGAAAAGTTTATGGCTCAGGTG